TTGATAAATCTGATGAACTTGATTATAATTCTAATGAACTTAATGAATCCGACAAATTTGATGAACTTGATGAATTCTACAAGTTTAATGAACTTAATGAATCCGATAAATCGAATAAATTTAATGAATCTGATAATCCCGATGAACATGAAGAATCTAATGAGAAGTTAAAAATTATCAGTGAATTCATGGCTGCTGATATGAGAATTCAAGAGCTTTCAGTAATTTTACAACAATATTCTGATGTTAAATACAAAAGCAGATTGATTAATACTCTTGACATTGCCCAACAATATAAAAAAAGAATCGATCAAATTAATATAACAGATGAAATTGGTGATTATATGTGCTATTTTAGCTTATTGTTAATGTTATTATATTAGTATTAATATCTGTTCATATTATAGATTCCAAGTTTAATAGTTTGGAAATTCCGGACAATTGACTTACTATAAGTCAACAGATAGAAGGAACGACTTTAAAAGCAGCGTTTCAGCCATTCTTTAACTCTAAATTGGCATGATAATTACTTTCTACGATAAATATATGTAAATGAAAATTATCTCCGCATCAAAAATTCACCCATGTGATGATCAACATAACTAGTGTTGGCAAATAGATCAATAGAACAAAAGTTCAATTTTTTTGTCTTTATATAAAAAAATTTTGTTTTATTAATAATTTGCAATTATTTAAACATATATTGTTAGAGCATTAGTAAAGTAATAAATTTAAAATATTTTTATATTTAATTAGTAAAATTTAATACTCAAAATTTACAATAGAAAAATCAAAAATGAATAGAATTATAAGCCAATAGAAAAAACATATAAACGTGACAACCCTGAACATAACGTAACATAATCTGGTAAGTTCAAAACAAACATTCGTTTTAGTCAAATTTGCCTGTTATTCAAAAATCCATACAAGAAACCACCTTTTTGAGAAATTTTGCTAAAAATCTAGAGCTAATGTAAGTACTAACCTTAAATAAACTAACTTCAATTACGCTAAAAAGCTTTTTTAAAAAAGCTTAAGCGCGGACACATAATGATATATTTAAAACATTTATTATGCGGATAGAGTTTTTTTAAAAAATTTTTATTTACATTATCTTTTTAAAAAATCGTTGCATGTAAAATAAATCTATTTTCTTTTTTTTTAAAGAAAAACTCATCATATAAACATCGTTTTAAAAAATATATATAATCTTTTGTTAAACACTTGGCAACCAGGCCGTAACCAAAAAGTTTACAAATATGTTAAAGATATAATAAAGCGTGCCAAACTTTTTTTAAAAACAGTAAATTTGATTCGTGAAACATGCAAACAAGTTATTTATCAAACCTATGTGGGCCGTTCTTTAAAGAAAAGTTATAATATTCATTTTTTTTAGTTTGCCTGGTGTTTGCACGTGATATCAGTATATAAATTTTGGGGTATATCTAGAAATAGGCGCAGGCGTATCAAAAATGAAAGTTTTGCACTAGGTTAATTGATTGACCTCAGAAAGCCACATGACCGGAAATTCGAACAAGACATGCATTCTCAAATTATGTGAATTAAATATTGTTCTTCGGCCATGTGCCTAATAAAAATGATATCGATATACGGTCATATTTTATGAACATATACAATATACAAGATTGACCAATTAAATTGCATAAAAAGGACATTTGCATCGGGCATCATTTTATAATATTAGTATTATGATTAGGCGAGACCAACTTGATTCTGTGTTTTACATTACCTCCCTCTCCCCTCCGGAAGAGGGAGGAGGGGGGAATTTGTGGTTTACATAGTAAAATGTTAAAAAAGGTTTCTTCATAAAAAATTTTTCCAAATTATTCCGTGACTATATAAAAATTTTCCGAAATAGCCCGTAGCCCTATATATATTTATCCAATTTTTTTTACTATGAAGGAGAGGGGGAACGCTAGGAGGAGGATAATGTAAAACACAGAATCAAGTTGGTCTCGCTTTAGGGTAGGATAGGACAAAGCACTTAGATACGTATTAATAAAATTTGTTAAGATGATTTATTTAATTTATTTAATTTTGACGGGTGTCAGGGACGATGATGTTTCTAC